TCTAACTTGATGAGGGGAGCCACAGAATCTAAAACAAGCAGGTTCTGTAGTTAATTACTGTATTTCTTTAAAAACAAAAAACCAACCAAACAATCCTAAGACCTTTATGGAACCACAAAAGACCCCGAACAGCCAGAGCCACCTTGAAAAAGAAAAGCAAAGCTGGAGACATCACAATTCCAGATTTCAAAGTTACATCACAAAGCTGTAGTGATCAACACAGTATGGTACTGGCACAAAAACAGACACATAAATCGGTGGAACAGAATAGAGAACCCAGAAGTGAATTCACAGCTGTATGGTCAGTTAAAATCTTTGAAAGAGCTGGAAAGAATATCCAATGGAAAAAAAAAGACAGTCTCTTTAACAAATGGGAACACTGGACAGCAATATGCAAAAGAATGAAACTGGACCACTTTCTTGCACCATACACAGAAAGAAATTAAGAATGGATGAAAAACCTAAATGTGAGACTCCAAATCATAAAAATCCCAGAGGAAAACAGTTAGTAAGGCCTCTGACATGGCTGTAGCAACTTCTTTCTAGATATGTCTCCTGAGAATGGAAACAAAAGCAAAAATAAACTACGGGGACTTCATCAAAAGCTTTCTCACAGCAAAGGAAACAATTAACAAAACTAAAAAGCAACTTAACAGAATGGGAGAAGATATATGCAAATGACATATCTGACAAAGGGTTAGTATCCAAAATATATGAAGAACAGATACAACTCAACACCCAAAAAACAAATAATCTAATTTAAAAAATGGGCAGAAGACATGGATAGACATTTCTCCAAAGAAGACATACAGAATGCCAACAAACCTGAAAAGATGCTCAACATCACTCATCATCAGGGAAATGCAAATCAAAACTACAATGTGATATCATCTCCTACCTGTGAGAATGGCTAAAATCAACAACAACAAACAGGTGTTGGCGAGGGTGTGAAGAAAGGGGAACCCTTGTGCACTTTTTTTTTTTTAAGATTTTATTTATTTGAGAGACAGCACAAGTAGGGGAGGGGCAGAGGGAGAGGGACAAGCAGACTCCCACTGAGCCAGGAGCTGAGATGTGGGGCTCAGTCCTAGGACACTGGGATCATGACCTGAGCCGAAGGTAGACGCTTAACCAATTGAGCCACCCAGATGCCCCAGCCCTCGTGTACTGTTGGTGGGACTGCAAACTGGGGCAGCCACCATGGAGAACAGTATGGAGGGTCCTCAAAAAGTTAAAAAATAGAACTAACTTACGATCTAGCAATTGCACTACTAGGTATTTACCCAAAGAATACAAAAACACTGATTCAAAGGGATATGTACACCCTGATGTTTATAGCAACATTATCTACAATAGCCAAACTATGGAAACAGCCCAAGTGTGCATCCACTGATGAATGGATAAAGAAGATGTGGTGTATACACAGTGGAATATTACTCAGTCATCAAAAGAATGACATCTTGCCATTTGCAACGACATGGATCAAACTACAGAGCATTATACTAAGTGAAATAAGTCAGAGAAAGACAAATATCATATGATCCCACTCATGTGGAATAGAAGAAAACGAATGAGCAAAGGAACAAAAAAAAGGGAGAGGCAAACCAAGAAACAGGTTCCGCTCTAGAGAACACACTGTTGGAGGGGAGGTGGGCAGGGGGGGGGGGGAGATAGGGGGATGGGGAGTCGGGGGGCACTTGCCCTGATGAGAACCAGGCGATGTATAGAAACATTGAATCCCTGTATCGTACACCTGAAACTAAGATTACACTGTATGTCAACTAATGAATTTAAATAAAAACTTAAAATTTAATAGGACAGGCACTTGCTCCTATAATTGGCCCATAGTAAATGCTCAATTAAATTTCAAAAAAAGGGATGCCTGGGTGGGTCAGTCTGTTAAGTGTCTGATTCCTGATTTCGGTTCAGGTCATGATCTCAGGGTCTTGGGATTGAGCCCCATGTTGGGTTCCATGCTCAGCATGGAGTCCACTTAGGATTCTCTGTCCCTCTCCCTCTGCCCCTGCACATGTGCTTGCTCTTTCTCTCTCTCAAATAAATAAATAAATTTTTAAAAAATTGGTAGGCCTCTAACTGCCAGGTTCTGCCCACCATTTGGTCTGAAATGTCTGGTTGTATTGCTCTACTATTTGCTTCTCTCTCAAATAACATATACAGTCTTTTTTAAGAATTTTATTGCTCATTGTTCCTTAGCATTACTTGATGGTGGTAATTTGGCTACTTTATATTTTCGTCTAGATGACCGGTTGGTGGCTTTTGTTTCTGGAGAGTGGACATCACAGTTAATGCCTCTTTGTTTGTTTTCATAGCTCGTTTGTTTTGAAGGACCAGGTGTGTTTGTTCTTTGTTGCTTCCAGTTGTAATTCCTTTCAAGATGAATACAAGAGTTCAGTAGCATGACTCAGCTTTGTCGGTCAGAGCATCAGGACAGCGTTTTGACTTCTCACCAGGCCAATCCAGTCAGCCCCAGGCCTGCTACAGCTAGGTGAAGACAGTGTCCTTTTCCTTGAAAGAGAGTTTCTTGTGTTGCTTTTGTAGCATTTCAGATTTGCTGGAATCTTTATGTTAGCCCTGCTTTCTGCCCTTTCCTTGTCAATGTTGGACGTATCTGCAATGCTCAAGGTCGTAGAGCCTGGCAAGGTGCCTTTTGGAGCCCGTAAATCCGTTTATAACAAATCTTCTGCTTAGCTTCATGGGAGGAAGCAGAATTTGCCTACCTTTTTGGTCACTGGAAGAAAAAGTCTGGCTCCTAGTACTCCAGTAGTTTGGGAAATGACATTTACTTTAACTCTGTGCCAGAAGAGTGGATTGGATGTGCAGTTTCTCTTGACTTTGCAATTGGAAACCTGATAAATTATTTACAAAATATTTGTGGTTAGGATAGAAATCCTGGAACAGAAAGCACTCGAATAAGAAATAGAGAGTTTTTTGGGTTTGCTATTTGCTAAGTCCTCTGCGACCTCAGAGCCATCTCTGGTTTTCTGTGAGATGTAGCCTGGCGATGACACACGGTCTCAGGTGGTTCTGCGGTCATTGCAATAACCTTTGTTCCATCCTAGCCTCTTAATGATGGCTGACTTTGACCAAATATGAATTTTAAAGACATTTATCAATTTTATGAGTCATTTTTGCCCCTTAAAGTTGAGTGGCAGTGAGTGAAGAATTTCAACTGGATGTATTTCCTGGAATTTGCCCCATATTCCAGTTATCACTCAAATGTTAATTTCACCTTTTAAGTTTTGAAGAAGATTAGCTAACTTTATTTTCATTTTTGAAGGCAGGGGTTGCCAACCTTTTCTGTAAAGGGCCAGATAGAGACTGTTTCAGGCTCTGGGGGTCAGCTGGTCTCTGCAGCAGGGGCTCAGCCCTGCTCTTGTAGCATGAAGCCGCGTGGACAACACATTGCATTTTAAGGACTCACCTCCCTGAGTTGGGGATCAGAAGTAAGAACTTCTCTCTTAGAATCCTGGATTGGAGGCCTCAGAAAGCTGTAGTTAAAGGGCTGAATTTTCCTCATGAATACGACCTTTGAACTGCTCTTAATAACTCATGAAATAGATTACTAGTGAATAGATTTTGAATATGTGTAAAAATTGTCAGGGAAACTGGAAAGGATTGGCAGGTTTGGCTCATTTTGTGGCCTGTGAGGAGGCCTAGGATTATAGTCTGAGAAGTGGGCATCACTGCTCTGGAGGGTGCTAGTCTGGTGTTGTCTTCCTGAACCTGGTAGCATTGCCTTACTTTGAAAATGCCCATCAAAATACGGGGAGAAAAAGACTGTCTCTGCATGCTGAGGCTTTCAGTCACTGGGGATTGGTTCACTTTCCATATTTAAACTGAGTGCTTACTGTGTCCCAGGTCCTGAATAAGCCGTGGCACTTAGAAACCAGCTATTTCGGGGTGACTGGGTGGCTCAGTCATTAAGCGTCTGCCTTCGGCTCAGGGCATGATCTCAGGGTCCTGGGATCCAGCCCTGCATCGGGCTCCCTGCTCTGCAGGAAGCCTGCTTCTCCCTCTCCCACTCCCCCTGCTTGTGTTCCCTCTCTCACTGTGTCTCTCTCTGTCAAATAAATAAATAAAATCTTAAAAAAAAAAAACAGCTATTTCTTTTTTTTTTTTTAAAGATTTTATTTATTTATTCATGAGAGACAGAGAGAGAGAGAGAGAGAGAGAGAGAGAGAGGCAGAGGGAGAAGCAGGCTCCCAAGGAGCAGGGAGCCCGATGCGGGACTCGATCCCGGGACTCCAGGATCATGACCTGAGCCGAAGGCAGTCGGTTAACCAACTGAGCCACCCAGGCGCCCTTGGCATGACACTGTTACTGATCCCATCTTTATTTAAAATTTTGATGTATTGCTTATTATAGGATTTTTGCAGTACTTTTGATTTTTTAAAAATTTGCTTTACAATACATTTAAAAGATCCTGGCTACTGAACATTTTGGCGCCCCTTACATTTGCCCCCAAGCAAGTGCTTTACTCTCTGCACCCTAGTGCGCCCTGCTGGTGCTCTTCATCCCTGATGCTGTGGATTAAACACACTTACATGGCCTGTGCTGGCTACCCAGACATCATGGATAATGTTCATTGAATGAAAAGATAGGATTAAATTGTAAGCAGCTGAATTGAACTGTTAGAGCACAGTATACTTACGAATCGAGGGCTGCCTGTGTGTAAATGCAGGAGTGGCCTCGGTAAGTTTGGTCTTGAGGTTTACTGTGGGACCCTCTCTGCAGTTGTGTCCCTTGATTATGTGCACTTCTACAAGGTGGTTTTCTGTGGGCCTGTTGCTGGAGCTTCCAGTTCTCCTGTAACATCCCAGGGAGCGGTATTATTTCACGTACGTCCTGCCTACAGTGCCTGTCACCCAGCCTGCAGAATGGGGCATCTGCAGCGTAGGAAAGCCCCGTTTATCAGCAGGAGTATTTAGGGTGAGACTTCACGTGGGGCATCATCTCAGCCTGTCTTCTTTCCATTTCAGGTTACTGCTGATGTCCCTGTACAACGTGAGCATCAACCTAAAAGGCTTGAAGTACATCAGCGGGAGCCCGGGATTCATCCCGCTGCTGTGGTGGCTTTTGAATGGTGAGGAGAGGGCTTCCCTGTAAATGTTCTTGTACCGCGCGTGCACCTATTTCTTTCTGGCCAGAGGAAGGTGTGAAGTATTAGAAATATTGGGATTGATTGTCCTAAGGTGTTAGCATTCTTTAAAAAAAGATTTCAAACTATAGAGAACTCAGTGGTGTGCTAGGTTATTTCTAGTTCTGCTTCTGAAGTAGTGCTTTTGGTGTATTTATGATTCTGTGACACAAAGAAAAACTATCTTTAAACATTTATTTTTATTTTTTTGAAGACTTTTATTTATTAGAGAGAGAGAGAGAGAGAGAGAGAGCACAAGCAGGGGGAGGGGCAGAGGGAGAAGCAGACTCCCTGCTGAGCAGGGAACCTGAAGGGGAACTCGATCCAGGACCCTGGGATCATGACCTGAGCCGAAGGCAGACGCTTCACTGACTGAGCCACCCAGGCGTCCCCAAAGAAAGATTATGTTATAAAGCAGCTGGTAAAGGGCATTCACCTGTCCCTTTGTGGACAAAACAGCGCTGTGTGTTGTCCAGGGCTCTGAATGTCAGGTGAAGGAAAGGGGGAGAGAGAAAAGTTTTTGTTTTCTCTGAAATAAAAGCTCTCTCTATGGTTTCTTTTTCTCTCTGACCACTAATTAATTAATTTATATTTTATTTTTGAAAATGTTTATTTCAGTGTAGTTAATACACAGTACTGTATTAGTTTTAGATGTATAATGTGGTGATTTAACACTTCTCTGTATTACTCAGGGCTCATCAAGATAAGTGTCCTCTTACTGCCCATCCCCTGCCCACCTCCCCTCTGGTGACCATCAGTTTGTTCTCTGTAGTTTGAGTCTGTTTCTTGGTTTGTCTCTTTTTTTCCCCCATTTGCTTGTTTGTTTTGTTTCTTAAATTCCACATGAGTGAAATCATGTGATACTGTCTTTCTCTAACTTATTTCACTTAGCATGATACTCTCTAGCTCCATCCATGTTGTTGCAAATGGTAAGATTTCATTCTATTTTATGGTCTAGTAAATATTCCATTGTATATACCGCCTCTTCTTTATCTATTCATCAGTGGATGGACACTTGGGCTGTTTCCATAATTTCGCTATTGTAGAAAATGCTGCTATAAATATAGGAGTGCACATATCTTTTCAAATTAGTGATTTCATATCCTTTGGGTAAATACCCAGTAGTGCAATTGCGGATCGTAGAAGAGTTCTATTTTTAACTTTTGGAGGTGTGTCCATACTGTTTTCTAGAGCGGCTGTACAGTTTGCATTCCCACCAGCAGTGCATGAAGTTTCCTTTTTCTCCACATCCTTGCCAACACTTATTGCTTGTGTTGTTGATTTTAGCCATTCTGACAGGTGTGGGGTGATATCTCATTGCATTTCCCTGATGATGAGTGATGTTCATCATCTTTTCATGTGTCTATTGGCCATCTGGATGTGTTCTTTGAAGAAATGTCTGTTGATGTCTTCTGCCCATTTTTAACTGGATTATTTGTGTTTTGGGTTGAGTTATATCTGTTCTTTATATATTTTGGATACTAACCCTTTATCAGATGTGTTACTTGCAAATACCCTTCTCCCATTCTGTAGGTTTCTTTTTAGTTTTGTTGATGATTTCCTTTGCTGGGCAGAAGCTTTTCTCTCTCTCTCTCTCTCTTTTTTTTAAGTAGGCTCCATGCTTAGTATGGAGCCCAGCATGCAGCTTGTACTCACAACCCTGAGATTAAGACCTGAGCAGAGATCAAAAATCAGACGCTTAATTGACTGAGCCACTTAGACACCCTGAGAAGCTTTTTATCTTGATGAAGTCCCACTAGTTCATTTTTGCTTTTGTTTCCCTTGCTGCAAGAGACATACCGAGAAATATGTTATGGTCAATGTCTGACCACGAATTTAACCTAAAATTTTGTCCCAATTTGTTCATCATAACTTTTAACGCTACATATTTAGCAGGTGCATATTTCACTTAGGTGTGCAAAATATAGGCTTTCCTTATTTTTTCATAATTTATATAGATCTCTATTTGAGCTTCAGTTCTACTTGGTGGTGAATGCTTATTTTTCTGTAACAGCTTTTTTCAGTTATAATTGATACACAATAAACTGCACACATTTAAGGCAAATGATTGATAAGTTTTAATGTAAATATATACCTGTAAAATCATCACTGCAATAAAGAGAGTGAAGGTGCGCATCACCTCCAGGAGGTACCTGTGCTCCTTGGTGTTTCCTCCCTCCCACCCCTCTGCTCCCCTCTTCCCAGACAAATTCACCCCCTTTCTACACTATAAATTGTTTTCATTTTCCACGGGTTTATATACTTGATATCATATATCTTGTACTCTGTTTGCCTAGCTTTTCTCATTCAACGTGATTATTTTGAGATCCATCCATGTTATTGTGGACTAATAGTTGACTGCTTTTTATTGCTAAATAGTGTTCTATGCTGTGGGTCTACCACAATTGCTTTATTTATTCAGGTGTTGATAGACCTTTGGGTTGTCTCCAGGATTTGGCTATTATACACGAAGCTGCTGTAAATATTCTGGTATGTCTTTGCATGGACACATGCTCTCGCTTCTCTTGGGTAAATACCTGGGAGTGGAATGTTTGGGTGTGTGGTAGGTGCATGCTACCATTTTGCACACCCCCGGGGCAGCACGTCAGTGTTCAGCTGCTGTGCATCCTCGTTGGTGCTTGTGTGGTCTTTCTGTTTAACTTTAGACACTCCAACAGGGGCATAGTGCTACCTTTTGCTGTGGCCTTAATTTGCATTTTTGTTATGATTAATGATGCTGAGCATCTTTTCATGTGCTCATTTCCTGTCCCTGTATCTTCTCTGATAAGGTATCTTTTCATATCTTTTGCCCATTTAAAAAAATGGGGTTGTTTTAATTGAGTATCGAGAGTTCTTTGTGTATTCTGGATACAAATCCAAATATTTTCTCCTGGTCTCTGGTTTTTCTTTTCATTTTCTTAAGAGCATCTTCAAAGAAGGTTGGAGGTTCTTAATTTTTTTTGATAAAGATTTATTTACGTATTATTTTAGAGTAAGAGAGTGAGAGTGAGCAGGGGGAGGGGCAGAGGGAGGGGGAACCCCAAACAGACGCCCCACTGAGCGCAGAACCCGACGTGGACGTGGGACTCAGTCTCATGGTCCTGAGGTCATGACCTGAGCCGAAACTGAGTCGGACACTTAACCAAACTCAGCCCCCAGGAGCCCCAAGGGTCTTGATTTTGATGAAGTTTAACTTATTCTTTTTCTTTTATGAATTGTGCTTTTGAGGTAGAAATCTTTGCCAAACTCAAGATCACAAATATTTTAAATTTGTTTTCCTTTAATAGTTCTATAGTTCTGCATTTTACATTCAGGTCTCTGATCCAGTTTGGGTTACTATTGGCATGCGGTGAGAGGCGGGAGTCCCAGTTCTTGCGTGACGTAAGGCTGCCCGGTTGGTGTGATGCTGTTTGTTGTGAAGGCTCTTTTCTCCACTGGATGGCCTCTGCATCTCTGTTGAAAATCATGTGTATGTGAGGGTGTGGTTTTGGGCTCACTGTTCTGTTCCATGGATCCATTTTTGTATCATTAGGCCAGTACCATACCACATAATAAATCTTAAAGTCAGGTACTGTTAATCTAATTTTTTGAAAGTTGTTTTGGCTATTTCTAAGTTCTTTTCATTTCCAGATAAATTGAGAATCAGCTTGTCACTTTCTACCAAAAAAAATCCTGTTGAGATTTTTATTGGGATTATGTTGTATTGACATTTCATTTGGGGAGAATTGACATTTTATCAATATTGCATCTTTCAATCCACAAATGCAGTATATATGTCCGTTTATTTAGATATTATTGTGAGACGAGTCTCTCATGTTTCTTTACATTTTTTTTAAATTTTTTTAATTGTTATGTTAATCGCCATATATTACATCATTAGTTTTTGATGCAGTGTTCCATGATTCATTGTTTGTTCATAACACCCAGTGCTCCATGCAGAACGTGCCCTCCTCAATACCCATCACCAGGCTAACCCATCCCCCCACCCCCCTCCCCTCTAGAACCCTCAGTTTGTTTTTCAGAGTCCATCATCTCTCATGGTTCGTCTCCCCCTCTGACATACTCCCCTTTTCTTCCTCTCCTGTTATCTTCTTCTTTTCCTTTTTTCTTATAATATGTTGCGTTATTTGTTTCAGAAGTACAGATCTGTGATTCAACAGTCTTGCACAATTCACAGCGCTCACCGTAGCACATACCCTCCCCAATGTCTATCACCCAGCCACCCCATCCCTCCCACCCCCCACCACTCCAGTAACCCTCAGTTTGTTTCCTGAGATTAAGAATTCCTCATATCAGTGAGGTCATGTGATACATGTCCTTCTCTGATTGACTTATTTCACTCAGCATAACACCCTCCAGTTCCATCCACGTCGTTGCAAATGGCAAGATCTCATTCCTTTTGATGGCTGCATAATATTCCATTGTGTATATATACCACCTCTTCTTTATCCATTCATCTGTCGATGGGCATCTTGGTTCTTTCCACAGTTTGGCTATTGTGGACATTGCTGCTATAAACATTGGGGTACACGTACCCCTTCGGGTCCCTACATTTGTATCTTTGTGGTAAATACCCAGTAGTGCAATTGCTGGATCGAACGGTAGCTCTAATTTCAACTGTTTGAGGAACCTCCATACTGTTTTCCAGAGGGGTTGCACCAGCTTGCATTCCCACCAACAGTGTAGGAGGGTTCCCCTTTCTCCACATCCCCGCCAACATCTGTCGTTCCCTGACTTGTTAATTTTAGCCATTCTGACGGGTGTGAGGTGCTATCTCATTGAGGTTTTGATTTGGATTTCCCTGATGCCGAGCGATGTTGAGCACTTTTTCATGTGCCTGTTGGCCATTTGGATGTCTTCTTTGGAGAAATGTCTGTTCATGTCTTCTGCCCATTTCTTGATTGGATTATTTGTTCTTTGGGTGTTGAGTTTGATAAGTTCTTTAT